CAGTTTTGAAGACATTAATGCAGAATAGGACTTGATAAGTAATTTGCAGTATTCACCACATTGATGGATATAATAGTTCAAATAAGAAGTTGCTGGATTTAGTATCTATTTTTTTTTATTTTTTCAGTCACACATTGTGTGGCCATAAAACAATTTTTTTTTACAAAATGCAGAAATTTTTTTGCAAAAATGCATTTCTTTGCAAACCATTATAACTGCATAATAACATTTCATTAAATCGTATCTGTCTTCTGGGAAGCATGTACTTTCATTTAGCTTTGGATTTCCTAATATATAAGGTCATATGTTCATGTATCCCTTTAAAGATAGCATTTGCCCTTGGACTTGTATCCATTGCACCTTGTGTGTGCTTGCCTCACGGTCACCCTCCAACACTTGTTGAAGGAATGAACAAAATACATTACCTATGCACCAAAACATTAAGTATACTGAAACTGAAATATTTTAACTTGTTCTTTGCTTTATTTATGTAATTAAATAAGTACATTATGTAAATTAATGACAATTAATATTCACAATTAAATGTCATTAATATTCTACTTGGTATGGCTCTAGAGAACTTTTTTTAAAATTTTACTTATTTATTTTTAGAGAGGGAAGGGTGGGAGATAGAGAGAGAGAGAGAAACATCAATGTGTGGTTGCTGGGGGTCATGGCCTGCAACCCAGGTATGTACCCTGACTGGGAATCGAACCTGCGACACTTTGGTTCTCAGCCCAAGCTCAATCCACTGAGCTACGCCAGCCAGGGCTAGAGAACTTTTTAAAACAAATATATCAATGAAATTTTTCTTTAAAAACTCAACAATAGTTTCAACAATTGTGCGACAGAGTTCGGATGCTCCTCTTTTGATTTTCGTTTCATAGACAATGTGTTACACAACCAAACTGGCCTCAGTGCTTAGAGCTATAGTTCATTTTTCAATGCAGTTTGGTCACCCTTTGGCTTCAAAATGACTTTATTTTAAAAGATTTTATTTATTTATTTTTAGAGAGAGGGGAATGGAGGGAGAAGGTGTGGGAGAAGAACATTGATTGGTTGCTTCTTGTAGGCGCCCCTCCCAGGGAGGAACCTGCAACCCAAGTATGTGCCCCAACCGGAAATCAAACCAGTGACCTTTCTCCTTGAGGAACACAAGGCCCAACCAACTGAGCCATAGAGGTCAGGGTGGCTTCAGAATGACTTTTGATTGTGACCCCTGAACAATTTCCCTGTTAGAGGAGTCTTAGTCTGCTAGGGCCACCAAACAAAATATCACAGACTGGGTGGCTTAAACAACAGAACTTTAATTCTCGCAGTTCTGAAGGCTGGCAAGGTGGGTTTCTTCCTGAGGCCTATGACTGGGAGGGGGAGAGAGAGAGCGAGCACTCTCAGGTGTTTCTCCCTATTATCCCCTCAGACCAGGGCCCCACCCTCAAACCCTCATCTAACCCTAATTACCTTCCAAAGCCCCATCTCCAAATATCATCATCACATGGGGGGTAAAGCTTCAACATATAAATTTTGCAAGAACATAAACATTCAGCCTATAACAAAGGGGTAAGACTCACAATTCCACAGTGTCTTCTAAACATTTTGATATTTGAAGACTATGGCATGGGAGGAGTTATTGAAACAACTGGCAAATATGTAGCCTAAAAAATACTTGATACATAATACTTTTCAAAAATTAGAGGTTAGCAGAGCTTCTTAATTTCTGCTAATCTAGTGGACATAAAAGGCTATTTCACTATTATCTTAATTTTTTTTTCTGATTTCTAATAAGGTTCACTATGTTTCAGATATTTCTTCTCTGCTTGTGTTTCTTCCAAGAAATCCCTTCTCATAATCTTTTCAATGCTGTGCATGTCATTTCCTCCTTTTAGTGGCTTCCTTGCTATATGGGATAAAGCCACATTCCTAAGCATGGGTATAATACTTTTCATGTCCTTTTCCCTGTCTACCTCTCTAGCCTCACCTCCCACTGCTGCCCTTCCCACTTCTGAATTCTCTAGGGACTCAGGAGTGCTGTTCCATTGTGCCATACCTTTGTGCAATTCCTTTCTCACTCTTGCTAATTCTGGCTAGTAGCTACTCATTCTTTAAGGCTTGGCTCACGACATTTCCCAAAAGCTCTCCCTAAAGGTGAGTTAAGACCTGTTCCTCCAGATTCCTGAAGCATTATTCTGTGTCTAAACTTTATGCTCCTTAAGGAGAGAGACTACTTTTTATTTACCATTTAATCTCCAGCACCTAGCATGGTCCCTGGCCCATGGCAGGCAATCAAATATAATTTGATCATCATCGACATGTGTTGTATGTATAAAGCTCAACAGAAAGATAGAAATAAGGATTTGAAGCTCAGAAGACAGTCTAGGCCAGGGCTGTCAAACTCATTTTCACCAGGGGCCACATCAGCCTTGAGGTTGCCTTCAAAGGGCCAAATGTAATTTTAAGACTGTATAAATGTAACTATTCCTTAGCTAGGGGCAAGGAGCTCAGTGCTGCCGCTGGTTAAAAATGAGGTGCTGGGCCGGATAAAACAAGGTGGAGAGCCAGATCCAGCCTGTGGGCCTTGTGTTTGCCACCTGTGGTCTAGGCTAAAGATAGTGGTAGTAGCTAAAGTCATGGAAGGGAAAGGGGGCTAATATTTGTCAAGTGTACACTTTGTAATGGGCACACGTTGAGGCTTTTGTACATATACTTACAACTTCATAAGGTAGCTATTACATTGTGTAAATAAAGAAGTAGGATCAGAAAGGTTAAGGAACTGGTCCTAGGTTGACAAAGGTAATAAATAATGAAGCTGGGGTTTGAACCAAGGTCTTTTCAAGTCCGAAGTCCAAGCTCTTTCCATTACACAATGCTGAATGAACTCATGAAGTAGGGTGGAGAGAGAGAAATGAAAGGGAAAGGAAGGGGAAGGAAGAGAAGGGAAGGCTAGATCCTGAAGATGAGCTCAGGAAGAATCCAAAATGGACAGAGAGATGGGAGGAACACCATAAAAGACTGGTTTGTTGAAAGCCAAAGTAAAAAAGTCCAAGAGAAAATGATAACTATTTTAAAGGTTGCATAAAGATTGAGTCATTTAAGGGATGAAAAAAATGTTATTATGTCATAGATATGAGCATATTTAAGTATGAAGGGGAAAACCCAGTAGAGAGAGAATTCAAGTTACGTTAAAGGGGATAACTTGCTGGAGTGGCGTATTTGAGGATGTGGAGGGAGGGGATCCAAAAATAACAGTGGACGAAGGGATATCCAAGTGAGAAGATGTCAATGTAGGGAAGTTTGTAGCTGGGAATGGGGGAGAACCACAATTTGAGTTCTTATCTGTGAAATGGGAAGAGAGGAGGTCTGAAATTTCACCCATACAAGGTCAAACCCACTGACTTTGACCCCAAGCCAGTTTTCTAGATTCATTTTTCTGTCGAATGGATCATTGACAATACACTGCACATCTAAGCTTCAGACCTCCTGTGCCATCTGTGACTTCTTCCTTCCTTCTCCCTTCCTAATACCTAATGAATTACAAAGTGTTAGAACAGTAAAAAATAGAAAGAACCTTGAGAATGTTCAAGTTATGACATTCCACAGAAATGAAGAGGTATGCTTAAGCTTCTACTATAAGTCACTGTTAGCAGCTGCATTAAGGCAAAGTTCCTAGTCAGAAGGGCTCAGTGACCTACTACAAGGAGGTATCTACCAGCCTCCATGGTGTATTTGCCAATTTAATATACTGCCTGGCACACAGCAGGGAGTCAGTAAATATTCAGGGAACCCATGAATGAACGTTGGTGGTAGTAACCAAGAGTCACAGATTCATAATCAGGTCAGGCTTGATAGCACCTCGGTATCCCTGTAGTTCGGCTCCCCCATTTACAGAAGTAACCTGACCAAAGTCCACGAGCTAGTTACTGAAAGTGCCAGGACTACGGAGAAGCAAAAAGTGTGCCAGAGCAAGTGGATCCAAGGGGCACGAGGTATAAACACTAGGGTGTGCACTGCCATCGGAATCTACTCTTATAATAGAAGCATCTTCTTCCATTTCCATTACTACTTCCCTAGCTCAAGTCCACGGGTAACTATTCCAACAGCACCCCAGTCTCCCTCCTCTTGCCTGCAATGTGCTCAACATTCCAAAGCCAGATCAATAGTCGTCAAACATTGCTTCCACGACTCACTTCTTTCCAGGTAAAAGCTCTCAAAGGCTAACTATTACTTATACATAGAATAAAGTCCAAATCACTAACATTCTTAACCCTTATCTTCCTAAGGATTGGTAGAAATGCTGCACTTGTCCAGACTCTTATCCATTAACTTCCAATCTCCTCAAAGGCTACCCCTGTCTTTCTTCCTACAGGCTTTTTTTTTGGGGGGGGGGGGTCAGCAGGCACTGTGACCAGTGCATTACCACAAGGCCCCATGCTTGTATGGGCTCAGCACTCAGTTTACTTGCTCTCTTGTAATTTCTAATCATTTCTGAACAAGGGGCTTCGGGATTTTCATTTTGCCCCCAAGTTGAGCAGCTGGTTTTGGGAAGGTCTGCTCAGCTCCTAGCCCAGCTTTGTAAATATCAGCCATCCAACAATGCATTGGCTGAATGGACGAACAAAGGGTTTACACTCATATGGTCCACTAAGTGCAGCTATGAAAAAGGTCGCAACGTTGGTGTGGAGGTCCGTGGCCCAACTCTTCCCGCCCAACTCTCAAAACCCCACCCACCGCCCCCTCGTGGCCTCAGACTCGTTCCAGCTGGATTCTTTAGGGCAGCTCGACCGCCAAATAGGATCCCAGCCCTCCCCCTGGCTGCAGCCAATTGCTGCAGCTGCTCCGGCTCCAAAACCGCAGCGAGCTCCAATTGGCTGACAGAGTTGGAAGGGGGCTGATTGGCTGACAGAGTTGGCTCCCCGCAGGAAAGGGGGTGGAGCGGGAAGTTGGCGCTCTAGTGGCGAGGCAGCCTCTGCGCAGGCGTGGAAGGAAAGGCACACACAAACAAACAAAACCCACCATCCTGAGGCCTCCGGCTCTTCCCCGCCCACCTTTACCTCCCGTGGGCTCTACCCCCTTCCAATCGGCCTCCTTTCTCCTCCCCCGTTTACGTCTGGGCATGTGCCCCTCGCGGCGCTGGCCACGCAGGGCCCTGCATTTAACCTCCGGCCGCCCGGTGCGAAGTTAGAGGCTGGGCTGGCGCGGACAGCGCGCACACCTGGGGCGGGAGCCGAGGCGGGAGCCCGGGCCTGCCTGTAACCTCCGCTGGGCGCACGATGACCTGCTACCGAGGCTTTCTGCTGGGCAGCTGTCGTCGCGTAGCGGGTGGCCGGGCGGCGGCGCTGAGGGGCCCCGGCGCGGGAGGCCCTGCCGCGAGATCGCGGCTCGGAGGTGACGGGGACGGCTGGCGGCACCTGGGGCAGGGGCAGCCACGCGAGCTGGCGGGCTGTGGCAGTCGTCCCGATGGCGGCTTCCGCCCGTCCCGGGTGGTGGTGGTGGCCAAAACGACCCGGTACGAGTTCGAGCAGCAGCGCTACCGTTACGCGGAGCTCTCGGAGGAGGACCTGAAGCAGCTGGTAGGTCCCGGCAGCCCTCGCCCAGTGTCTGGGCCAAAACCTCTTCCCCGAGGCTCCCCAGATGCTTTACCTGCCCTGCTCGCGGCCCCCCACTCCGGGCTTTGCTCGTGGGTCCCTCCCACCCCTCGTCTAGAGAGAGCGAGCTAGAGAGAAGAGGGACACTCACTGTTCGTGCAGACACCCCCAAAGCGGGGACGTCTCGAGGAAGCCGTGGTTGGGGGACTAGGAGCTCCTACAGTCGGAGGGGTTTGAACTTATGTGTACCCTCGCAACCGCACCCCCTTACTGGGAATAGCAACAGTAGCCCCGAGAAAGGTTGGCCCGTGACTGACGTCTGGACGCTCTGGAAGGAGCTCCCCAGGCCGCCCCAAGAAAGCCGGACCCCGGGCGCCGTTGCCTGGGCGAAGGTACCGCGGGCACACCCCCTTTTATTCCGCAGGACTGTCCCGGGGACACTCTGTAAAGCCGGTTGGGATGAGCCTTTTCCATGCTGGAACGTAGTGGTCCGACAAGGGTGCGGCAGTAGGTTTTAAGAAGCGCACGTGTCTTTGGTGTTGGGAAAAGCAAGAGAGAAAATTTAACACTGAGTATACGTTATTAAGTAGAAGGGTCAAGACAAAGGGTAGCCAAACCTTGTAATTATGAAATAAAGAGCCCACATCTATAATGTAGCAGTACCTCCACAAAAGACTATATTTGGTATAGACACATTAATATTTTTACGAGGTATATAAATCCATGCAAAGAAGAAACCCTGAATATCATCCCCTTTTCCTCTTTTTTTGAAACTATTGATCCCAAGTCCTCATCCACCAGCTTTAGGATAAGGATGCTTCCATGAGCAATATGTCTAGACAGGACATTTCTAATTGTTGACACTGCAACAAAAGGCTTTGGAATTAATCGCTTATAATCCTAATCTTGGTAGAATTCTGGAGAAGAGTAGACAGCCTGTTCTAAATTGCTGGTTTGTAACCTTAAGCATATTTTCTGTAATATTTTGTAGAGGAATCCGAATAAAATGTAAATAAGTCATCTTTGCCTAAATACTCTTAGGCATTAAACTTCTTAATTTTTTAATGGGTTAATTGAAGAGGGTCCCTGCATTCATCTGATGAAGTGCTGGGTGCAGAATTGTTTTCTCTTCCTAAGTGTTTGAATGTAACAATTGATAGAAAATAGCCTCCTCCTTTAACAGAGGCAACTAACAAACAGCTTGAACCAGGAGGTTGGAGTAGTTATTGTGTTAAGGTGTGGAGTTGGGGTTGAGGTGGAGAAGAACAATATCAGAAGCAGGTGTTTCTGTTTTGGGAAAAAGGCACACCTTTTTTGCAAGATCTACTTTTTAGAAATTGTCAAATGCTGTATACCCATTAATATATTCTTCATATACCTTTATGGAAGCCACTCACAAGAATTAGTACGCTTGATTGGGGTGTTAAAGAGTGTGGGGTTGGGGGTTTGGAGATTGGAGTATTAGGCCCAGATTCTGTGTGGTTAGTTTCCTTTGAGTCTTTTTAATTTATCTGGGACTCATAGGTGAAAACTTTTTTTCTGTGTGTGCAGTATTGTCAATTTTCAACGTGCTTTTATCTAGTTCATTATGCAAAGTACTAGGGTCAGACTAGATCGCCTCCAGGGACCTAGAAAGGCTGGCATTTTGAACTTGGTGAGCTTTCTCAAGGCCTCAGGGGTGGCATCTGAATTAGATTAATTCTTGGACCTGTGAAGTGGATTGCCACTAATCAAAAGTTTTTAAATGTAGGCATATCAGTAAGTCCTTTAAAAATCGAAATGCTTAGTGTGCCCACTCAGTACCTGAAGAGAAATCTCTAGTAGGTAAATATTTGTCTTTCGCTAGGTACTGCTGTTCGGGATAAGAAAACTTTGAAGCAAAAACTTCTGGACTATAGAACACACCGTTTTGAAATAGTTGTTATTTCAATTAAATTTTACTGGGTTAGTTTTGTCATTTATATTAAGGTCATTATTCAGAATGGAAGAGCATTAGGTGGATTCCCTAATCTCCCTGATGAGAGATCAGGAAGAGAATACTACCAGGCTGTGTGAAGTTGTTGTAAAATGGGATTCTGTATTGGGAGTGGAAAGATGATTACTACTGTTTGCTGTTTTGTTGGGAGTAAAAGATACTCAAGGGAAGGAGTCATGTGAATTGGGTATCAAAGAAAGTGTCCAAGTGCTTATTTGAGTCTTTGGGCCTGGTGGTTTCTTTGTCTATAGCGTCATGGTAACCTGAAGTTTGTAACAAGGGTTCTCTTTTTTTGGTAGTGACTGTGGTTTTGTTGCTAATACATCTCAATTAAGTTACTCACATTAGGTGTTAAAATGCAAAGGGAAAATGAGGGATGGAATGCCAGTATAATTTTCTATCCTGAAGCCTTATTTTTTTTCTCACATTGTAGAAGTGCAGACAATTAAAAGAAATACTTTTTAGTTGATAAAAGTATGTACAAAAGATTTACATCCTTTAAATTTCATCAAAGTTTGAATTTCAGTTTTCCTTTCGTATTTGTTACATTGCTTAATTTTTAAGTCTTGCTTTTGCCTTCCTCTAGCTGATCAATGACTTTTCTTGTGAATGGAAGATTTCTAGTCAAGAATTTTTTATCTCTGCTGGCTCAGGACCTTGCAAGGATTAATTAAACCATTATTACATCTCAGAGATGTAGCTGTTGGCAAATGCGGAACTGTCATTCACCGTCCAAGAGACTCACAAATTATACCTTTAGATGAATCAAAGGTCTAATTTAGATGATTGGAGAGGTTTTTGACATCATAAACATGCCTTATTGGCCAAAACGTTTCAATTAAAAAATAGTTTGATCTATACTAAATAAGGAATGAGCACTGTCCACTTTCTACTCCCCCAGCTGCAAAGTTCTTTTAATGGTTCTCATAGTATTTTAAAAAAATATTTTCAAAAAGGGATAGAATAATTTCATCTAGCAGTCCCTCTATTACAGGTTTAATCTGTTCTGAGCTATTGCCTTGTTAACAGATATAGGAGATGTAGCACCTTGGATTTTGTTTCCCTGACTCTGTTTTCTGCAAACAGCAGTGTAGCTTAGGCTGTATAGTTCTTGGACAGATAATACTTTTGCCACATGGTGTGCAGTGAGTATAGTGCATGCAATATGAGGATTTATGAAGTTGAAGAACACGATCTGGGATACTGCCAGAGCCTTCAAACAGAAACCTCACTGCTCTCAAATCTTGCAGACACAGGCACCAGTGTGGTGTATCTCAAGGGAACATCTGGCCACTGGACTCTTCTGCTGAGAACTCCTCGAAAGCTCCCCATAACCTGTAGAGTCACCTAGGGAATTTGTTAAAGTGAAGATGCCTGAAATTAGTGTCCCCCCCCTGCCCCCCCCCCCAAGATTGTGATTCACTTTGAGAACTCCCAGACTCCACCTTTCTGAACCACGCCCTTAAAGGCTGCTGACTCAGCATTTTAAAAATAGGCTCTCCGGGTTTGCGAGTGGTCCCCCGGTCACACTTTGAGAACCTACGTGATCTTTAGCTGCCAACAAGTCCCTTTGTGAACTGGCTCCTGTCTATCTGTTGAACTTCATTTCTGATCAGGTCTTGTCGTCTCTTTATAGAAATAATCTATACGTACAAATCAACACAGTGAAATATGTCCTTTGTCTCATCCTGTTTTGCTCAATAATATTTATTTAAACTGTTCTTTTTTGAGTATGTATAGCATTTCATTGTGTGCAGATGCCTTAATTAAAATATATCCTATAATGAATAACAGTTGTGTTAATTCCTACATTTGTGTTAATTCCTACACGTGTTAATTCCTATCAGTTCCTAAGATAGAGACCTAAAAGTGGAATTGCTGAGCCAAAAGTCATGTGCATTTGAAAAAAATTTTTTTTAAATCTTACAAAGATTTTCTTTTTTAAAAAATTTTTTTTCCCAACTCTTTTTTTAATAAAGATTTTATTTATTTATTTTTAGAGAGGGAAGGGAGGGAGAAAGAGAGAAAAAGAAACATCAATGTGCGGTTGCTGGGGGTCATGGCCTGCAACCCAGGCATGTGCCCTGACTGGGAATCGAACCTGCGACACTTTGGTTTGCACCCTGCGCTCAATCCACTGAGCTACGCCAGCCAGGGCGAAAATTTTTAAGTTAATTAATTTTATCCACACCTGAGGACATGCTTACTGATTTTAGAGAGAGGGGAAGGGTAGGAGAGTGAGGTAGAAGGAGCCATCCATGGTTGCCTTTCTAACCTGCAACCTAGGCAGGTGCCCTGATGGGGAATTGAACCTGCATCCTTTTGGTTTATGGTCGGTGCTTCAACCAACTAAGCCACACTGGCCAGGGCTGAAATTTTAGTAAGTATTGCCAAATTGCTTCCCTTAGAGGCTATACCAGTGTACACTTTCACCAGCAGTGAAGGTGCTTGTTTTATCATAAACAGTTTATTGTATTTTGGGATCTTGGCCTGCCTGGTAGGTGAAAATGGCATTTCAGGGTGGTTTTATTTACATCACTCAGTGTCTTGATTTTTGCAGCCCCTTTCACTTTCAGTAGCCATCCTTAGCAACCTCGCCACGCCTCCCTCTGGCCACTAAGGTTGTGTTGGGTGTTCTTTACTGTATCTTCATAATACTTACGGTTTCGAGCTTTCTACTTTATTTTATTTTTAAGATTTTATTTATTTATTTTTAGAGAGAGAAGGGAGGGAGAAAGAGAGAGAGAAATGCCAATGTGCGGTTGCTGGGGACCACGGCCTGCAACCCAAGCATGTGCCCTGACTGGGAATTGAACCTGCGATGCTTTGGTTCGCAGCCCACGCTCAATCCACTGAGCTACACCAGAGCTTTCCACTTTAGCGTGTAATCTGTAATTCTTTCTTTAGACTGGAGGGCAAGGACTGCATCTTCTTATTAAATCGTGTTATAACTATAAGTGGTCCATGGGAATACAGAGAAGGGAGAGAATAATTTGGGGAAGGGCAGGAA